CGATTAATAAATTAAGTGCTTGGAGCAATATAATGATTATCCAGAGTTTCAAATAGCTCAATAGAGTGTTTTTTGATAAAAAAAATCATTCGATTTCCATGTTGGATCTTGAAAAAACAAAATATATGGTCATGGTTATTAAACTGTTAAATATGTTCTCATCGTTTTTATTAAAATATTGAATTGTTGGATTTGAATCACAGAGGAACAGGAGTAGACAAACCATTGTTATAAGTAATTTTTTTACTAAATAAGTAATTTTTTTACCTAAAAGAGGTAAAATCCCTGAGAAAGTTTTGAATGATAAATTTTCTTATGAAAAAAAAAAGAAGAAAAAAAACATTTTTTTATAAGTTTAACCTTGAGGTGATTTGACGATTTCGTCCTGAAAGCAACGCATAAAATTAATTTTTTTTTCTTTCAAAAATATTATGTAAATATGCTTCTTCATTCCTGAAGTATCCCAGTACTAAATTTTGATGGATAAAATTATATTTTCTGACCGTCTTTATGCCAAAGCATCAACTTTTTATGTCACTGAAACTAATAAATTATGCAAGTAAATTCAAGTTACATTTACGTTCTATTGGCAGTTGATCTTACGGTATTAAAAACTAAGTCTGATGCATTAAAAAAGTAGGATTAATAATTGGAAAATCATATAAACCATGCTTAACTTAAAAAAAAAAATTTAAAAAAAAATCCACCCATAAAGGTACATACTACAAAATAAATATTTAAAAAATCTTGCTGCAATTTTGAAACATATTGAGAAATTTCAGTGCCACAAAAACAAATTTAAAATAAAATATTCGGAATCAATTCCACATTAAAACTCTTCTTGAAAATAAAATTTGTAAAATTTTCATTTTTGTTGCATTATTCATATAATGATGCAAAAAGGCATTGTAATATGTTTTATTTGTTTATAAAATCTGATCTGGGTCTAAGTACCTAATCTGCATAAAACTATCTTTGATAAAATTCCCAACGGGTATAGATATGGAAAAAGAAAACCTATTGCCATGTCAATAATCCCCTTTGATTTTCCTGAAAGGATATATATCTTTGAAAGATATCAAGGGTATCTGGGATTTCTTATTCTATGACAGATGAAATTTCTCATAGATATTTTCTGGAGCACTTTTTTTCTATATTTAGAAAAAGTAACATAAGTTACTAATCTGGTATTCTACGTTTTCTTATTTTATGGTTGAAGAACTTTAAAAATTTTAAATTTATGCAATGACGTCATTTCAGATAAGGAAGGAGGTGAATTGGATTTATTGAAAATTTAATTGTATAAAAGCCGGAATCAGTAAAGCAGCATCAAATTAGTAAAGTAAGATATGAATGTTTACACATCGGAATGATGAATAACAGATCTGACAGTCGGCTTTCAAAACCTAGTTTGTGAACTGCTAATATGGACATTATTTATACTCAAATGACATTATTATATTATCTAAAGCTTATTCAATAATGTCATTTGAGAAAAGCAGGAAAATGAATTGGGCTGATTGGAATTTAGATGGTAAAAATTCCAGGATAAAATAATAAGTGCTAAATTTTAACTCTTTTGTTACGAGCACCGTATTTCGTCACCATTTATGCAATGTATCTGAGTACGAGTGATGTATTTAGCCGGCATCCACGAGATATTCTATTTGTACTAGTGCTGCATGTAGCCGTACACACAGATATGTTTGTCTGCTTTGTTTCAAAATTTATCATACTGAATTAAATTACTAAGAATTTTTTGAATTATCCCAATTTGTATTTCTTATTTAAATACTTGCAAACTCTCCAACTAACTAACACTTAACTCATGTAACACTTAAATAAGAAAATCCGAACATCAGCTGACCTACATGTAATGTTCCCGTTTCTATGCGTGGTGCACTGTACAAAGGCGTCACTTAAGCGGAGCGCGCTGCTGTAGCGAAAGGGTTAAAGCCAATGTAAGATGAAAAACAGTACTATAATAGGACAGGGGAAAGATCACTAAGACTATAGGTCGTAGGATCTGCATTTGCCAAGAGAAGGCAACTCCCCTGAAAGAACAAGCAGAGATATAAATAGTCGATATTGAATTCAATTTTGCCCTTATTTTCTTCAACTATCTTATCTTTTTTTCCCTACTTTTTTGATAGATTTGTTTAACTTATACATGTGTATATCTCTATTCACATGTATACTATATGTCTTAATTCTTAGAGATATATCCCCTGAGGCAATAAGTAGAGATATAAATAGTCGATATTGAACTCAATTTTGCCCTTATTTTTCTCAACTATCTTGTCTTTTTCCCCCAACTTTTTTCATAAACTTATTTAACTTATATATCTGTATATCTCTATTCACATGTATACTACATATTTTAAATTCTTAACGATACATAGCAAGAAAAAACTATTGCTATGGCTTATTATTTTACACAATGTGGGACAGCTTTGTTTTTTTCCTGGTAGAACTGTCAAAAAATATCTGAAAAGTATTTTTTTTCACAAGCAATTCTTTAAAAAAATTCTAATTTTTTTAAAAAAAATTATAAGGTATATTTAATTTTTTTTGAGAGGCACAAAGTACTAAAATAATTATACCAGCTTGCTTGACTTTCGTGACTTTTCCTAACCTTTTGATACTTTTAAAAGCATTAAAGTTAAATTTTGTTAGAATATAAAATGGGTGCATAAAATGACAGTTCACCTGGAACGCCTATTTACTGTCAAAATGACCGCGATAGAGATTTGATAATATTAATTGGATTTAGGACACTGTTACTTCTCCATTGCTTATCTATATTTCATTCGAAAACGAGTAAGACCAGATTGACACTTTACAAGTTTTCTTCCTCTAAATAAATCCCCCTCCTGCCCACTACTTCTCTCCGAACCCTCTTATTTGTTTAAGTATTTGACAATTTTTTTTCTGCTCTGATCGCTTCAAGATATAATCTCCAGTAGAAATTAAAAATGTCTAACTTGTTTTACCATTCGAGAAAAGGTAAATTTTTGTAAAAAATTCAATTTTGTATTTTAAAGTGGAGGAAAACAAATAAAATTCAACAAACAGTTCTTGCCATTAAAAATTACGACTTTAAAAATTTATTCAGTGCATGGGGTAGGCTATGAAATTTGGATTAAGTTTTTGGCTGGCTGTAGAACTTAAGTTCGAACATTTTCTGATGAGTTTTAGATATCTAAAAAGTACAACGAAAGAAGTGCATTGGAGAAAATGCCATTATGTCCTCATGGACATGAATGGACATAAGGTAAAAATATGTCCTAATGGACATGATTATACATCCAAAGAACTTTTTTACTATTTAAGGGCAAAAGGAGTTTCAATAGTTTTATAGAGAAATTCCATCTATTAGCAAAGTTGCGCCAACCTTGTGTTTTTTTTTAATATTCTAGTTGAAGGATCAAAAAACTATTTTTATATATAAATGTAAACTGAAAAAAAATGTCTACATCTTTAGTACTTTGGCAGTTTTATCAAAATGTATGATTCAAAAAATGTTCTTGAAAATGTAAATTTTTAAGTTTTTTTTTTTTTTTTACGTGGATGTGTGTTCCATTTAATAAGCCAATTATAAACAACACCAATGGTTTTTAGAGTATGACCAACTTTAATTTTGCTAAGTTTACCTATTTTCCTGATATTTTAAACCTTGTAACTCTTCACGTGTTTCTAAAGTATGCTTTATTTTGAGCTTCGTCAACGAATTGAAATTGCTATATTTATTTACAAAGAAATTACCCGCTTTTCTTCACCTCTCTTGATTTTTCTGAAATTAAAAGTTATAAAAGCTCCATTGTTCCTTTTGTAGAAAAACAAAAAACAATCTTAAGCTAAAACTTTAGCAAATTTTAGTTCCTATTGATTGATTGATTGATTGATTGAATGTAGGGTTTAGTGGCACAAGGTCCAAATGAGGACATGCTGCGCCAAACAATACGGTAAAACAATTCAAAAGCCTAAGTGCATACAAAATTTTAATTGTAGTACATTTATAACTGATAAAGCAGTACTAGTATGTGAAAAAAAATAAATGGATGTCAAACCACTGCTGTAATATCTCCTCTCATATGTTTGCTTTAAACATTGATAAAGTGAGGGAAAATTTTAAAACAAAAATTTTTGATTTAAAGTAAGTTACTTTTCGTTTTGAATTAAATTAATTAAAATCTATATGAAAGTATTCAGAGTTATTTTTAAATTCCCGTAATAACAAATCCTTTTCAAAAATATTTTCTAATTTTTAAACTAGCTTTTATTTCGTTTTAAAGCATGTTTATTCATGTATTCTTTTTAAAATTGTAACCTTCAGATAAGATAATTGCATAATTAGTTACATAAAAAGTTTGAAACACAGAAATTTTCATTAAGCAAGCTTTTTTTGCGAATTTATTTTTCTCAAGTATAATCTGTGCATCATTTCATTTTCTGTAAACGTTTATTCTAAAATCTCTTGAGAAATATTTTCTATATTTTGTTGCGATAACTTCCTTGGTAAAATATCGTTACCTTCTCCAGAAGTAATGAATAGTGTATTGCTCAAAAATATTTAATAAATCTGTGAAGTTTTTAATTTTTTGTAAACCGAAGGATGGCAGAAAAATATGAAAAAGTAATTACGTTAATTTATAACGTGATGAGGAGAATTGAAAAAAAAATTCTATTTCACCTTATTAAGCGCTTAAGAAACTGCAAAATAAGCTAAAAATAAATTTGCTTGTCAACAAATTTAATTTAAAAAGCTAATTAAGAGTCTTATTAAATTGCATTTGTTCGTGGTTTTTAAAATTGCATTAGATAAAATTTACTTTTACTCTTCGAAACATTTTTAATTGTCATAAAATCTTTGCTGCTTGTTGAGATAAAATATTTGAAATATAATTAGAAAAATATTTTTTATGACATATAGAACAGTTTGATTTTTTGTAGTTAATGCACCAGCATTTAGTTGAATTGTATTTTTTTTATATTTTCAGATTGGAAGCTAATAGAAATAATTGATTTGACCTATACTCATATTAGTGTGGAATGGATGGTAAGATTCCTGTAATAATTTCTTTTCATTCTTTTCACTTCCATAAATAAGCATTCACTTTTACCTATTAATGAAATTATTTCAAATTTCATAATTTAAGCAAACACGAATGAACATCTCTGATTTCCACTTAAATGTTGTGTTTGCATCTAAAGTTCGATCTAGTTTCTAGCTAGTTTGAAGCTATTTTGGCAAAACTATAACTACAATTACGCTTATAAATAAGAATTACTTTGTAGCTTACTCATATTAAAAAGTGCTAAAAATAATTTTTCCCTCAAATCATTTAAATAGCGTAGTTTCAATCATAGTCCAACATAACATTAAATTGAAAAAAATGTTGTAACACTATTAATAATTTTGAGTATTTTATTTCCGTTATTATGTTATTGCCAAGCTTTTAGAAGTTTGGGCAAAATCCTTTATACAAGAAACTATGAAAATATAATCGTAAATACAAACATTGATATCTTTATCGAAATAAGTAATTAAAAAATTTTAACTTTATCTCTAAAACAATTTCAAAAACATAATATTAAACATTATAATGCTGTAACCACTACAATTCTGTAACCATTATAATTTTGTGCATAATCTTTAAAATTCGGCAAAAACAAGGCGAAAAGCTGACAACGTTCCTCAACCACCAACCTCAAACCACCAACCATTCTTCTAGTTAATCTATTGGGACCAAATTTTCCTGACAACGGTTGTCTTCATTATTTTAAGTAACAAGATTTGTTTTCTTAGAATCGGATTAATTTAGGAAAAAAATACATGTTTGTGCTTTACTTCATGACATAGTTTGTCATGCGCACAGTTTAATCATTATTTTTAACGCGTCATCATGAACCATTGAATAATACAAGATATAAGAAGGTATACAAGATATAAGAAGATATACAAGATATAAGAAGATATACAAGATATAAGAATACAAGATTTAATAGCACAAGAAGATATACTGTCTCAGAGAAACAATTTTAAAAAAGATCAGATCAGATTGCAAAAAATTATGAATAATTCTCCAGAACAAATGTGATTAATTAAAAATATGTAATAACTGATAATTAAATGAAAACCGATCAATCACGTCTCAATTTATTTTAGACTAGCCATCTCTGGAAACCCAATTTTCTGATAAATAGAATTTTACGATTTAATAATCGTTAAGCCAAAAATCAAGACAATATGTAAGTATAAACTGAGGTTGCACAGTGAATTGAATTTGATATTTAATAGCAGCAAGTCTAAAAGTGGAAATGCTGAGGCTAATAAATGGTTTTGAAAGAATTTAAAAGGTAAAATGAGCACTGCAAATTTCTCGTACTGACATGTGTGAAATTTACAGTTTAGTACAAATATTAAAACAAGTACATTAAAAAGTTAATTAAATCAGATTAAATTGTTAAATACGATAAACCAGTTATATACAATATAAAATATATTTATCGCGTATAAATGCAAAAATGTTAAGATGATGACTTTCATCTAACAAGTCTTTCATACATAAAAAAACTACTAAAAAAGGTAGGATGATAGTAGTTAAAACTGGATCAAATTATTAAAATGTGTTGAATTGTGAGTTAAACATTAAACGTAATGCATTTCTGAAGAGGTTTCCTAAAAAACAAATGAAAATTAGACGTTTTAGTGCGTCCTATTCGTAAGCGGGTGAGCTTGACTTCAGCTAAGCTCGTGCGTATGTGCAGACCAAGGCTGCATTGTAGGCTTAACTGAATGTTATTTGTTTTCGCTTTACGGGACACAGAGTTGCTGCCACAAAGACTGAACAAATTTTCCATTGCAATGCTCCATGCCAGACAATGGTACAGACATGGTTATTGGGGCAGAGGTAGATAGAGCAGCTGAACCGTTCAAGTATCAGCCAAGTATACCAAGTATTTCCTATAAAATTAACGTGGCTGGGAATTCAGCAAGACAAAATATCAAAACCCTTCTCGAGAAAGGTATTAAAAATGTCGGAGAAAAACTGAAATTAGTTGAACTTCGTTTTTCACATGTCTTATTTATCACACATGCTCTAACTTTCCGAATAATCACAAAAATTCCGTGCTGAATGCGTCGAAATAAGTCGTGAAGTTAAAAGTAGGACAACTGCTTCCCCAGTAAAAATGAAGCAAATGGCCGAAATGTTGAAGCTGTAAGTAAGTTCAACTACGATATTCCCTCCCCCAACATGTCCAGGTGATTCAGAACTATATGTAAAAATTGTCACTAATATTGCAGAAGTAAGCGTGGATTTATATTAGGCTCATATATGTCTCAACTTTTAAATCGGAGTTTGGAAGAAATGGGCCCCATCATGATTTTGTTATTAAAATGTTCAGTACTGTAATATGAGCTAATACTGTTTTTTGATGAATAATAAAAATCAAACTGCGAATTTATTTGCCATTATTAGTTATCGTAGTGTTAGAAATTAATACTTTCTATATGGAATAATTGAATTTTATTTTAAACCACCAAAACAAAACCAATTTTAACAGTCATAAATTTCTTTAAATTAAGAGAACACACAGATCTAGAATAGTAAAAATACAATTTAAAGAAAAATTTAGTTGAAGAAATAATAGCAATTTAACTTAATGACACTGCGGAAAAACTAAAGGTCAGTATAATTAAGTAACTGAGCTTTTACTTTAAACAGTTGAAATCAATATTAATAATTATAGGACGTGTTTAATTAGTAATTAAAATTGACCTTTGACAACCAACAAGTTTTGTTTGCCATTTCAAAACTTCGGGGAAATTAAATATTTTAAATTAAATAGATATTTAAAAAGCTTTTCTTATAATTTTAACACACAATTTGAGACTTATTTATAAATTTTATTTTTCAAACAAATAATTTATGTACATTTAAGTCATCTAGCTACTGTTGGTGAGCAACCATTTGCCTTTAAGCGTTTGAAATATTTTCATAAATTTTTATAATATTTACGTAAACGAGCAATAATATAAAAACAGAGAATTAAAATTTTTTGCTTAAGAAAGTTATTAAAAAATAATGGTTATTAATATTTAACAATACATTTTACTATTAGAATTTAATTGATTTATATGTCTTCAAATCGTAATGCCGTTTGTAGCACGGATCTCTTATTACACTGTTTGACAATATATAAGGAACAATTGATTTAGGATCTCTCCAAATAGCCGACTAATAATAGTAAAATTAAGTGCAGAGGACAAGGTAGAGCAAGACCCGTTTTCTGTGTAAAAGTCAATGCTCACAGGCTCTTAATTCATTTGAAAATTTATGCTGTTTTCGGCTTATAATTGTTAAAAAAAACAACACTAGCTGGGTTTGTAACACGCTCTGTGAGAGGCTCATGCTATACAACCATACTTCAAAATCGGGTATTTTCAGAATTGTTGGGAAATATGCACTAAAAGACACTGTATGGCTGTAAATCAGCACACCTCCACTTATTGCGTCGTTTGTTCGAAGGGTCTTAGAACAGCATCTTGGTAATCGCGTCATCTGAAACTATGGGTTCCATGATCCCCCGATCTCCCTCCTAAGAATTTCTGATTTTAGAGATATCTCAATTTTGGGGTATACATGTGCAATTCACAAACTTTGCTGGATTTGAAACACCATTAAATGTGAGATTGATAATAACCCTCATGCTATGTTACACTCGGCTACATTGTCTACAGTTTTCTTTCTGTATGCTATGTGTAATTGCCTGTATTAGCACCCATGTAGGAATTTTGTTATCCGAACTAGCTTTTCGCTTTTTTCGATTTGTGTTGTCATAATTGTCTTACCTCCTTTATATTCAAATTCCCAATGTGCGTTACGATTGCTAGCTTTGTGACCACGCTGAGAGCTGCTTTTTGAGCCCCGTGCATTAACGCGTCCGATTTTTGTTCAACATGTACAATTAAAATTCTGCTCCAGGTTTTTGCATGCCCTGAACATTTTGAGACGAAAAAAAAGTGGATACTGCTATTCGAAAAATTCGAGATTCAGTACCTATAACCATAACCGTGAGTGCCACTTTGCTGTCGATCTCAAATGTCTAGCTTATACCTCTGAAATATGCTCCGAGCTTAAATCTCATCTTGCAAGTAGGCCGATTTTTTTTTAAAATCACCCTGAATGTCTTTTGTTCACTTCTTGATACCTAGCGAGAATGATAAAAGAAAAGTGGCCAAAATTTATTTCTTAAAGCAAAGAGAAATTAACCATAATTTCTCTTAAGAAAGTAAGTATTTGGAAACTTTATTAAAATAATTACCTCAAAACTGGTTGTTGTTTAAATTAAAATGAATTTTTTAAAACTGCAATCATGCAACATTGACATTAATGTTAAACGAAAGAGCTGAGCTAAGCCTAACCTTGGAGTGAGTTGATACATTTGACAGGCTTCGCTTCTACTATTTAGGTTGTCCCGTATCAGCAATACAATAACCTATAGAGATCAATGATTTGGACGAATAAGACTTAACATTATTACGCTTAAAATTACTCGGGACTGTCAAATATTATATCTCTTTAATTTTTGATAACTTTCATTAATCTGTGTATTTGTTTCTAGCACCCGTTTTCACTTCAGCATTTAAATTTTCAAAATTTTTTTCGTAATTTTAAACCAATTTTTTGTAAAATTTTGTCTTTTATTTTTTTTAATCAGATTGTACAGGGATCGGGAGAATATTTTCTCCCTTTTCTAATCTGTGTATAAATTGGGGAAGTAGCCTAACGAATGAGTGGTTCTGTAATCTATCCGTGGGCTTTGAGCTAAGACGCATAATCACCCTTGTGGTGCTCTCTTGTCAAATGAAAGGCACACCTTCTTGACTTAATTCACAAAAAGCAGGTGGCTGGAGAGCTTGGGTTCTCCAACTGTCATTAGAAGCAACAAAGAAGTTTTTCTAGCTGTCTATTCTATATTTTTTTTTCACTTTAATGAATTTTCCGTTTATATTCATTTTAAATTATCAGTATTTATTAATTGTGACTCAGT